ATATATATATATACACACCACCAAGGCTCAACAGTGATTGGAAAGTACTGAACTGAATATGTTTATGTTTTTAAGTTGTTTATATGCTTAATCACATTCAAGTTGTAAAACAGTAGCTCAAGGTGCATGACATCATTCACAGAATAGCCAGCGCAAAGTCCAGACCTTAATGTCACTGAGAATCTTTGCTATGTAGCACATTAAAGTAAAACTAATCCAACTCTAGAAAGAGAAAGATTTTGCAATGTTGCTTAAGCATATCAAAACCATAGAAAATGTATGTAGCAGTCAAAGCTAAATTTACATTTGTTTTATACAAAACAAAAGATATATGTTAAAGACAAAATATGCAAGACTATAAAACTGGACGATTTTGAATCATTTGTGACAAATTAAAAGTCATAATAAAAAAATGGTAGTATTCTTCATGTGAAACCATGACAAATAAGTTCAAGATAACATTTTACTTTCTAAAAAATCTTAAAAGAAGCAAAGCAAAATGTCTCCCTTAACACAAAACAGACATGTACAAAACAGAAAGATCCTTATTCGTCAAACTGTTTTGATTGTAACCAAGCTTGTTGCTATACATAATTGGTGATCAAACATTACATGAATTGTGGCTGAGTAGAAAGCCACTGAGATACCACATTTGAGATGGAGAAACTGAGTAAGGAGGGAGAAAGAGGTTGAGGTCCTGCTGCAATGAGCTGCACACTAATAAGAGTGTAAACAGAAGGAAAGGAGGTGTGAAGCAGGCAGATATAATAAATAAAAAATAAACTACTGAATGGAGCCATTTACCAGTTTTCCATCTGTAGCACACTGTGTAAAACTAGCCTGTAAGATGATATATTTTATTCTGAAATATCTAAAGCTCTTAAACATGAACTCAATGAACCAGTGTACCATCGTCTACATATTTCCAACTTTTGTATAGAGATACAATAGTGTAATGTAACACCATCTGAACTACATTAAACCTTGGTGTGTCAGGAACATATAAAAGGACTATGTCATTTATTTCCTCTCGCTGTATAGCACATTACACAAAACTTTGAACAGCCCATTAGTGTGCTAGTCAACTATGTTTAATATTATCATGTAATGACAAAAATAATATTATTTTTAAATAACCTACAATGGTGAAAACCCAATATGTGCAAACAAATTTGACTTTGTTTAGAGATTTGTGGTTCCCCCACTGAAGAAATACAGAAGTATATACAGGTGCTGGTCATAAAATTAGAATATCATGAAAAAGTAGATTTATTTCAGTAATTCCATTTAAAAAGTGAAACTTGTATATTATATTCATACATTACATACAAACTCATATATTTCAAATGTTTATTTCGTTTAATTTTGATGATTACAAATGACAACAAATGAAAATCTCAAATTCAGCATATCAGAAAATTCGTCAAAAAAATGTACAAGCAAGAGAGATAACCGCACCCTGGAGAGGATTGTGAAACAAAACCCATTCAAAAATGTGGGGG